GAGAGAGAGAGAGGGAGATAAACGGGCGAACTGAGACTGCTAATGAAGGAAACAGTTAGATTCAAACGGCCTCCAATAATTATCCTGCCAGCCATCCATATTATAGTCTCGACAATGCACGAAATTGTTCACACTTCCCTTAACAGTACATCTAACGCTCTGTAGTTCCTGAATGCCGGATGGAAAAGGGTGGCTGAGAAAGGGGACTAGCGTTACTACTCGAATTCTTACGACATGATCATACGATCTGGATGCATCGCTAGTGCAGTTTTCGGTCGAACATCTAAAAGAGCACAAGTATATACATATTTTGAATAATAATTTCACGTTGATCAAATGCTAATTAAAATATGCGTATTTCAAACGTGTCATGCCTTTTTAGATTGAGATCATTAGTAAATTCTATTACACCGTAGTCTGACTTTGCACAAGCGACAGTGTATATTAATCTATGTGGAAAATTTTGCATGAAAATTTTTAAAAACACGTAAAAACAAAGAATTTTACGTAGCATTTCAATTTCTTCCGTCGCGAGTGCGGCGTAATATTTAATCACGTTACATGACTCGATTCGAACTTCGAAAAGGAAAGCTGAAAGAGAATTAATATCTCGATCTCGCGCTGGCGAAAATTAAAACGCACAAAGTGTAATGCAATCATATATTATCGTTTGGGGGGAGAGGAGCTTTACTATACGTTAAGCTTCAGTCACGACTGCACTAACTTAGGGAATACAGTCGCACCGATGAATGCACGTCGAACGATCGTACGGACCGGCAAATTCATGCCATTTAGGATTGAACCTCGAAGCCAGAGGCCCGGTCTCGCGGCGTTGATGTGTTGATATTAGTAGAGCTAATTTGATAGTTTAATCAATTTCCGTAAGCCGACGGGAGTTTAATAGTGATGTCATCATTTTCAACGGGGCACAATGAGGTTAATCTCGCTCGACGAGCTAATATTCGGAGAGTTAATAGAGTTTCAAATGCAGGCAGGGCCGTTATTTGCCCGCATCCGTTCGCGAGCATACACGTACGTCGAGGTATCGAAGCATTAGGGAAAAAAAAAAGGGTAAATCTAGTCGCCCGCCGAAGGAAGAAACCTCCGTCTCAACCGATATCAAATCACGATACGATCCGCGATAATTCGCCGTGTTGAATCATCGATAAAAACGAAGATTCGATCGATGCTGCTCCCCAAATACAGCGCATTGCGCGATATAACCGCAGATTACAATTGTTGTAATCGAAGCAATCACAAAAGTCGTCCAAAACATGGCCGATCAAAATGTACATGAAGTAAATGGAGCTTCTTCTGCCGAGTGAAATGATCAACAAAACCTTGATCTCCTGCAAACAGAATTCATTTTTTTAATTTCAATTAATAAAAGGATTAATAAAAGGAACATGGGGGAATAAATGAAAGAGAATCTAGTAGAAACAAAGAAAATGAATACATCCAGATAGGACGAAATAAAAGTCCGCGCGGTAACGCGCGAGCGAAAGCGGCTACAGAGTCGACGAAGATTACGCGCGGGAGTGAAATTAAAGATTCG